TTGCAAAACTGCAGTGTATGGAGTTCTGTAGATGACTGGCAGCCTGATGAGCAAGATTTAGAATAACGTGTAAAGATTGCCTTGTGAATATTTGCCAGGACAGAAGAATAAACTGCATTTGGTATCAGGTCCTGCTGTGTTTTACCCTCTGAGCATGTTACAAAGCCAAAGGATTTGCCTTTGTCCTTCCTGTGAATCTGCTCCTGCTGCACAGTGTCGCAWATCAATGAATCTGACCATGCACRGTTTKGGGTTTCCATARACTCATAGAATGTTTTGGGTTGGGAGGGACCTTAAAGATCATCTTGTTCYAACACCCTGCCATGGGCAAGGACAMCTTCCACTAGATCAAGCCCCATCCAGCCTAGCCTTGAACACTTTCAGGGATGGGGCARCCACAGCTTCTCTGGRCAACCTGTACTAGGGCCTCATCACCCTCACAGGGAAGAATTTCTTGCTAATATCTAATCTAAACCTATTCTCTCTGTTTTTCTCCACAGTAATCCCTTAAAGCTCCAAAGCCTTGGGAGGCAGCTGGCTYCTCCACCTGAAGGTGATTACAGAGAAGAAATTCTACTGGACAAACGAGATTTCTTTCATTATCCTAATGGTTTCTATCACAGCTGGATTTTTCTCTGTGGGATGCTTAGATCCATGAGACAAACTTCTTAGAAATGATTTAGACAAACAAATGAATTAAACAGAATTCAGAATGACAGTTCCCAACACTTGGGCATCTGCCAAGGAGCTTTCAAAAGCCAAAATAATAACTCAGATCTGAGAGATCCTGCAAAGCTTATAAATTAAGTAATCCTTTGGAAACCTGCAGCTAAAGCTGCCATAGGGTTGAGATTTGCCTGGACTTAATCCAAATAATGAGTTTCAAATTTAACTGTTCAYAGGATGCTGAGGTCTTGGATTTTTTTTTCTTTTTAACTATTAAGTAAAAAAATAAACTGGACCCCTTGAGAATCTGTTGTACACTAATCCTGTTGGGATAGGAAGGCACCAGCAAGGGCTCATTCAGRCAATGGAAACAGAAACTAAGATGAAAAAAATCAAGGATTACTGATTAATGTAAGAAAGGAAAAGAGGCACTCTGTGAAACACTGATTCTGAGAAACACTGACTACTGGGAGGGCAAATTGCACAAATGCCATGAAACATTGCTTGGAGTTTTTTATTCCCACAAGCATTTTGAATTCATGTGATCAGCATCACTTTCAGGGACCTTTTCCAATCACAAATATGTAGAGGAGTAAGCAGCATTAGAACATACAAATGACCATGCACAACAAATGATTTTCAAACACAAACCATGAGCCTCTGACACACAATTTTAACAGGAGTGTGGCTGCTGGTAAGGCCAACCCACAGGCTAACAGCTAGTTTGGTSCTTAAAGCTACTTTTAAATCATAGAACCACAGAATGGTTTGGGTTGGAAGGATYTTAAATCTCATCTTKTTCCAATCTCCTGCCATGGGCAGGAACACCTTCCACTAGACCAGGTTGCTCTAAGCCCTGTCCCACCCAGCCTTGAACACTTCCAGGGATGGCTAACTCAAGACTAAGTTCAGCCACTGAAATGGCTCCAAGCAGAAACAGCCAGAGTCCTGAACACAATTTGTACGAGCAATAAAATCTCCTGACCTGGTGAAGAACTATCAAGCCATAATGATGCTTTAAATCACTCTCATAGGGACAAATGTTCAAAAAAAGCATTAAAGGGTCATAATTGGAACTCTCAGATAAACACAGAGCTCTGCTAGACATTGGGAGGGTGACAGATGGAAAACCTGAATGCTMATTCAAAATGGGACACAAAGATGAATATCCATAGTTTACCCAGTCGGTCTGTGATAACAAAGGAAGGAARCCGAGAGTGTCACCAGTGGCAGAGCCAGAATGGAATATTCAAAAAAAGAAACAAAGAGGTGATAAGGCTTTGGGGTGGAAAAATACTGGAAACAAACATCAAGGAAAATATCAGGGAGGGGAAAGATTAAGCGAATGGAGTGATGAGATTGAATTCATGGACATGTTTGACCTCTCTCTGAATAATGTGTGGTCTCTGTTACAGCTCGCTGTAGGGTTTCAGCACTCGGCTGAAGAATGAGCACGTTGGCAATACTGTATTTCAGCTGGATGACAAGRCTTGCTCCCACAGCAAGGTTCAGCTGCTGTTTGTCTTGTTAACTTCTCAGCCAGAAATAGAATTCAGATTAATTTTTGGAAATTACTTAAAATAGAATTGAAAAATTCTTGCTGAGCAACCTGGTCTARAGGAAGGTGTCCCTGCCCWTGGCTGRTGGTTGGAATGAGTCAATCTTTAAGGTCCCTCCCARCCTAAGCTATTCTGTGATTCCATGATYCTACCAAAGACAAAACCAGGCATTCATAAGCCCACGCTGGTTGGCTGAAATGAGAGCTGACTGGGTCCTTTGTAGACTGCAGAGTCATGTTTGCTTTGCTCTAAGAAAGCACATGTGAAAAGGTGTGTGAGCAGCTGAGACCACCTTTGAACTGTGGGCCTCTTTAGCTGATGCTCTCATTCCCTGGAAAAAAACATCTATGACAGAGGAGTGCAGAATTAGTTCCTGATACAGTTCTGAATCCTGAGGGCTGCTCTGCATGTGAACACTTTCCATCAGGAGAAATTCAAATACAGATGATTTTATTCAGAGTAAAACTGCCTCCACTTCACATGATGTAATGTAYTCTGGAATATAATCTCATTTGGAATAAGCACACCCACAAATTTACACCAATTTGGCTCACTGTGTTTTACTTGGGTTAAGTTTTAGATGAGCTGTCAGTTCCATGACGGTTGATCTGGACTGAGCATTTGAAAAGCCTTGAAGAGAAAGTTCAGTTTGGAGCCAGCAGTTTCCTGTCTGCTTTTGAAATGAATACTCTWATAGAGGGGATTTCTATGTTTTGATAATCTATTGCCTCTGCCAGCRAATTACTTGGAACCCCCGAGGCTTTGCTGCACAGCAGAGCTGCCCCTCACAGCAGGGTGCAGTTCAGAACCCACTCTGGGAATGGAGCTCCAGTGAATGGCAGTGGGAAATGTTTGACTCCACAGAACGGCAGGTTTCGCTTTTTTCTCTTCGTTTTTTCTGTACCTCTGGTTTATTGTTGCCACTTTCCAGTAAACTCAGTGCCTTTCACAGAAAGATTTTTTTTTTCCTTTCCCTCCTAACAGGAAGGAGATGCCAATGCTGACATACTGAGTTTGTGCACATCTTTAACCCCATCCTTCGGGGAACACTCTTCATCACTGAACAGCGAGAGCAGGAGAGGTGGGACATCAACCAGCCCTCCAGCTCTCCACAAGAGGAATTTTGCTGTTTGGCTGGGTGGATTTTCTAACACAAGCTAGGAAACCTCAGAGCAGCCTGCTCGCAGGCTTCTGCAGGCTGGGTGATATCATGCAGGAATGAGGAGGTATGATTCATCACCCAGACAAAAGTCAGCCTGTGCAGCCTCTCTTGGTGGAGGCAGGCGCTTGTGAGGAACAAAGAGCAGGGGAAAGCTCTGCTGGCACTGGCTGCAGCTGGACCTCTCCTCTGCAGGCACCTTTCTAGCAAAGCAAACCAAGTTTATTGTGTTTCAGGTTCGTGACAGAGCATGTAGACTGTACTCATGCTGCTAAAGCTGCAGGACAGCTCAGGAGCCTGATTAAACAGCACAGACCAAAGCCCAGAAAATGGGCACAGCAATGAGACGGTCACACAAACCCTCCCGTGTCACAAGCAAAGAGACTTCACAGCAAATGGCACATAAATCAAACTCACAGAAACTAGGCAACARGAAGGTGCTCGATGAAACTGGACTTTCAAAACAATGAATCCTTTGTTAGGTGCCTTTTTTTCAAGTGAGATATTCTGGTCTGGCCCTTTTTGGGAAGACAGGGAGATTTTAGAGGCATTTTGAGATTTTTTTTCTCAGATTCTGGGGGACATGCTGAGCATCTCTGCTGACCACCCACCTCACCTCCAACCCATCACTCTGTGCCTGCAAACCATCCCATTAAACACCTACTGGCAGCATGAACATCTCCCTGCTGCCCCAACAGCCACTGATTCAGCTGTACCAGCAGGACACAGAGCACAGCTGGCTCTGCAGTGCTGGGAGCTGTTCCACACACCCCTGCAAGGACACAGCCATGGGGTGCAATGGCCATGAAGATGCTCTGAGGGCTGGAGCACCTCTGCTATGGRGACAGACTGAAAGATCTGGCAGCRTTCAGCCTGGAGAAGAGAAGGCTCTGGAGACAGCTTAGAGCCTCTTCCAGTGYCTAAAGGGGCTCCAAGAGAGCTGGAGAGGGACTTAGAGCACSGGCCTGGAGAGACAGAACAAGGGAGAATGGCTTCAAACAGACAGAGGGCAGGGGGAGATTGGATATTAGGAAGGAGTTCCTCCCTGTGAAGGTGGTGAGAGCCTGGCACAGGTTGCACACAGAAGCTGTGGCTGCCCCAGCCCTGGAAGAGTTCAAAGCCAGGTTGGACAGGGCTTGGGACGGCCTGGGATAGTGGAAGGTGTCCCTGCCCATGGCAGGGGGTTGTATTGAGATGAAATTTCAGGTCCATCCCAACYGAACCATTGTGTGATTCTGTGATTATTTTCTTGAAAGTTTCTCTTTTGCCCAAGTGATGACCATGGCATATTCACAAACTGCTTTAAACCAAAACTGATAATTTTCTTGGACTTATTTTTTCTTCAAAAGTTTTATTGTAATGAATAAAACAGCCACAACCAAACGTTTACTGACCTATTGCATCATCTTCCTTCCACTCCAGAGGATAAAGCGACAGTGAGGGGGGCTTTGAGCACACCAAACGTATACTTTACCACTAGTAAAGTACTGTAACTTCTGCGAACAGTCGCTCCGAACCCCACTTACAAAAGGATTCAAGAGAAAATCCGAGCTAAACTCCCCCAAGGACGGGCGGGACGGGTGGATGCCTCCTCCCCGACACGCCCTGCGGGCGGAGCGCTCCGGGGAGGCGGGATCGGTCCGTCCCGGGGTTTGGGATCGCGGCCGGGGATCGCGAGTGGGAGCYGGAGCCGCCCGCGGGCAGGGAGCGCCCCACCGCCGCTATGTCCCACTCGGTGGTCCTGCGTGGCCCTTCGCCGTGGGGTTTTCGTTTGGTGGGCGGTAAAGATTTCAGCGCCCCGCTGACCATCTCCAGGGTGAGCTCGGAGGGGGAGCGGAGCGGGGAGCGGGCGCAGGTGATGGGCAGCGGCGGCGGGGATGCGGCGGGGATGCGGCGGGGATGCGGCGGGGCCGGTGGTACCCGGAGCCGGGCGAGCTGTGCTTGGGCAGCGCTTGGGCTCTTTTGAACTTTAAATTATTCTGTATGCTCCCAGTACACTCAGGCGCTCCCCTCTGAGCTTAGAGCTGTTTCARACGCTTTCCCCAGTGTTACAGCGTTCTCCATGCTTTACTTTTTTGGATGTTAATTCATAAGGATCTGCTTTCAAAGTTTTTTTGTGTTCATAGGGTTTGGATTCATGCCCTGGACTGAGTTCACAGGGTGTTGGGGTTTTTAAAGAAGGCATGAGTTAAGTCGGCAAGAAGTTTCTCCATGCAGGCTGCAGTGTTCTGGGGTCTCTGTGGGCTGGTAGTAATTACTGTGTAAGTGTACTCACACTTACGTTTGACCTCACAAAGATGTATTCTGGAAAATTCTTTGCTAAGATGCCGCAGATAGCTTGAAATAGGCTTTGTGTGTAGATATATGAGAAAACAAACCGTCCCCCGTGCAGGAAGGAGCGCGGAGAGGTGGTGCGAGGGGCTGTGTGATGGATGAGGTGCTGTGTCTGAGCTGGGCACATTCCCGTGGGCACTGGGCTTTCCATCGCCGTCGGGCTGCCCCGGGAAAGGGCTGCATGCCCCAAGCTGCTCTGCCTTCCCGGCATGTCGGGCCGTGTAGGATTGCCGAGCTCCCCTGGGCAGCTGCTGCTCAACTTCTGGAACAAACACTGAGTGCATTGAGAGGCTTTGAAAGCAGCTATAACTTAAAAATACTGTTGTAACGCACACAAGCTGTTTGCCGTCTTTTCATTCATCTGCCAAAGCTGTGACAGGAAAGAGAAGATGCAAACCCTTGAGTTTAAAAGAAATAATTATGGAGGAGAACACGTTTTAAAGAGATTTAGTTTGTCTTTGAGTTGAAACGCGTCTGTTTCATGGCTTTGTCTCTGTTTTTRCTTTGGACTGTCCCTTTCCAAGCGCTCCAGTGAGGGCTGTTTGGAGAAGGAGATGGATGGAGGAGAGGGAAGGTCGGGGTGGTGCAGGGAGCAGCAGCTGGCGGGGCTGTGCTGCCACAGGGGGCTCTCCGCTTTTGGGGCTCAGCCTGCACCTCCTGGCCATGGGAAGTTCATTTTGTCCCCTGGTAACATGGAATATATCACAAATCACCTCCTGGAAACTGCAGAAATGTTCCTGTCGTGGAAATGAACATCTGAACTTAGTAGAAGGAGCCTGTTTTCCTGTTACTTTGGAAAAGACAACCTGGTTTAATATTAAACAAGAAAAAGTTAAGTCTGCTTCTGCCTAGACAGGTGGCTGGCSAAATTTGTTGTTTGAATCAGCAAATTTGGGAGGTGTGAGGAGAATGATTCTCATCASGCCAGTCTTGCTGTGGAGTTCAAGGAGCCGTAATTCAAGAAGCAGATGTAGGGTATTATTCCATTTGGTAGCCTCTTAAATGGGATCATTTTTTAATTCTGCTCCCACTAAAGAGCAAAGTAAAGCTCTGGTGTGTCCTATTCTAACAGCTGCTCCCAGAGGGTGATAAGCAATCCGTTGGGATGTAAATATAGGTGTAGAATGCTCTGCTTGGGCTCTAAACACAAGAAAAGACCTCACTTGCTTTGCAAATAGTACCTGAAAATGTTAAAGCAGAATGAGAATTAGCTTCTGCTACAGCTCCTGGCCATGGGGATGCAGGAAGGGGCTGCTGGAGGGCTCYGTGGGGAGCCAGGGCTCTGCTTGGTGGTGGGTCTGTGCAACCCTGCTGCTGTGCAGAGGGCTGATCATGGCTGATGTGGTGCCATATTCCCTTTTATTCTTTAATTGTCCAGGAAATCTGTTCTTTCTGGTTTGAAACATGGGCAAGGGGCCGGGGGCTTCCTGTCCCCAGGAATGAGAAGCCTCCATCCTCCTTGCCTGGGCTGGCTCACTGCAGGAGGGAGGGAGCCTCTTGCTAATTGTGGAGGCTTTTGGCTGACTTCTGCTTCCTTCAAAGTGCCTTTTTTCTTTACTTTCAATTTTATTTGTTTTATACTAAAATGCCATTAAATTGCAAACATCTTTGGAAAAGCAGAAATTCTGCCGGGAGGCAGGACCACACTCTTGGAATCCCACAGCCAGCTGTGAGCCCGGGATGCCAACATTCTCAGGGTGCTGGGCTGCCTGAGGGATGTGGGGTCACTGCACCCCACTGCTGGGCACAAGGGGGGTTGGGGATCATCGTGTCACAAGGTGTTTGGGCTGTACAGCTCTGCAGGCATCCTACCTGGACTGGTTACGTTGGGAAATGAAGTTGCAGTCTGGGATTTGAGGCATCCAAAGCCACCCACATTCAGCTCTTGGTGCTGGAGTCTGGCTGCCTACTTAAAACCCACAAATTTGTCTGTGTAAGGGTTAGGGGGGGAAAATTGTTCTTTTAGATAGACTGGTTTTCTCTTCTCTTTGCTAAGCTGCTACAGGAARCTGTTCCTCCCCAGAACTCTACCCAGCTGTGACAGTGCAGGGATGTGAGGAGCCGTGGCCAGCCAAGCTTTGCTGCCAGCTGGGGCACCTGGAAATGTTCAGTTTTCTCTCCAAAGCCTGTCCAAGTGCCATTGCCCCAGGTTAAGTGAAGGCAGAGTTCTTCAGTGGTGCATTTGCAGGGACCTGCAGTCCATGTGTCATTTCTGGAGGGGAAAATAATGGAGCAGAGGGTGTGAAAGGGGCTGCCAGGCTGAGCTGAGCTGAGCAAGAGGCACAGTGATGCTGGGCAGAGAGAGATGTCTGGCAAGGGGCAGGGGAAAGCTGAAGGGGGTCCACAAAAGTGGCTTGTGACAATATCATCAGGAGAAACTTGACAAAATATGGATTTCATAGCATGGAATGTGACAATGACCCGGTCCTGCTTTGGGATGGGACTTGCCTCACTCAGAAAAATTTACTTTGGCCTTTAACCCCTGTGAGATGGCTGTGTCTGTGCAGGTGCAGCTGATGGTGTTCAGTCCATCCCTTGCAGCTGTTTCAGATATGCTCATGACATTAAGCAGTGGTCCTTTTCTCTCAAAAACAGGTCACTTCCCTCTGTGATTTGATCACTCTTAAGTGMCAAGGGGTAAAGATCTGATTGCTCCACTGAGCAGCTGATGCTGAGCTTTGCCCTGGAGAGGCCAGGGCTCCAGATGGAGGGTTGAGTTTCTCAGTGTTACAGAAAAATGCAAACCCAGAAGGGCGTGCTCAGGGCATCCCTCTCATGCAGTCACATGAGAGTGAGGTGTGCTATACCTACCCTTTTATCCCTGGTTTCTTCCTGTATGTTCAGGAGGACCCAGATGAGCAGGGCTGGAGTTGCTGGGCCAGTTTGGGGTCACACAGCCCTGGAGGGTGGTGCTGGTGTGTGTGGGACAGGATTTGTAGTCCCAAACTGTTCTCATGGGGGTAGACCCAGCTTGTTTTATACCCACTGTTACACTGAGCTAACACTAGCTGTAGGACATCACATCATTAATGGCTGCTGCTCCTAAGGATATTTATAGGGGTAGGGAATGATCCAAAAGATCTGCTTCTAGTCGTCCTTAATGACTTGATAGAAAGTGGTTTTAAGACCTAGTTAAATTTCTGGTAGCTGACAGCTGCTTTTCCTTGGTTGAGCAGGCTAATACTGGGTGTTGTGTTTGCCMTCCGTGGGGAAGGGGTTCTCACTCCAGTGACAACATTCCTTTTGACCAGGGGCCACGGCTCAGGARCAGCAATGGAATAACTCAGCTGTGCTCAGTGTTGTGCTTGTAACCACATCAGTGAGTGCTGTGGTTCTGTGTGGGATCACAGTTGATCTACCCCTTGCCTGGGATTAAAAGATAATCAGTCATTAGCGTAACTAGAGGAGCTGAATGCGTTTAATCACTTGAACTCGCTTGTCCAGCTCCTGGAGCAGCCGATGTCGTCATCTGCCCWGCTCTGCCAGTGTTAATCTGTGCACTTGCTGCTTTTGAAATCACAGATAAATTACTTGKCTAAACAGATAATTGACAAATGGACCAATTCCAGTATTTTTTGAATGAGATTTTAATACAATTTTTCCTTTATCTGCTGGCTTCAACTTTAGTTTGCCCACTGGTCTCTAGTGGAGCAGCAAAAATGCAATTTTCAGCGTAGGCTTGGAACTGTAACACAAGAAGGGTGAGAAATAATTGGTCTGCAATCCATTATCCAGGTATTGTTTGAGTTAAGGTTGACTTTTAAACTTAAGCAGCTTTTGCGTTTGAGCAGAGACGTGTCCTGTTAAAGGTTAGGATACTCAAGAARGAATTCTGCTGAGGAAGGAATTCCAGTAAAAGTGATTTTGTTGACTCTGTCAGGGCAGCCAGCAAATGCCCGAGTGTGTGCTGTGATCCTGTGTGAGTACAGAGAGAACCCACTCGGGGTGATAACTCTGTGGGGTTTGTTCTTTGGGTGGGGATGGCTGAGCACAAGGGGCTCCCCMGAGCCAGGGCTGGGGGTACAGGTTYGGTTACCCCAGGAACTCCACGTTGGTGAAGCAAGRATCAGACAGCAGCAAAGGGAGCAGGGCTTTTCACTTGATTTCCATAAGGTTTTCCTGGTTTTGCGTGCAGTTCTTATGTATTTAATAGTTTATTAGATGGAAATGATGTGCCCTCTGTTCAGAGCTCCCAAATGGACTGAAGAAGCTGCTCTGTGTTGCTGAATCCCAAAACTAGGACCCCACCTGATTTCTTCTGAGTTTTGGTGGGTTTGCTGCCTGTGTAGAGCTGAGTGATGAAAGCTGTCCCTCTGTTGGTTGCATAGTGATGTTTGTTATACTATTTCAAGTGGGATGATTTTTTCAAGTGGAAGGAAATACTTTTGCCTGTCAGTTTTTGTTGTTCTCATCATTCCTGTAAACTYAGGGGTGAGAGGTCTGGGTGGTTCCGTGTGAAGCTGTGCTGGTCCAGAACAGTTA